AGAAGCCTCTCGCTGCCCAGGTCCCCCCCCCTTGGCCCCTTCCTCCCTGCGGCGCCCCCCCCACACCTGGAAGGAAAGGGAGGCTCAGAGGGAGCAACAGGCACTGCTGCCACAGTGGCCACTTGGCAATCTTGCCACCCTCTTGGGCACCGGCATTCCTGGGGGTACACCGTGGAGGCCCCTCCTCCGTCAGGCCTCTTTGAGCCAGGCTAGCGCTGGGCGTCCGTCCTCCAAAAGGGGAGGAGGAGGAGGAGGAGGAGCAGAGAGAGGAGCGAGGCCTAAAAGGAGAACCCACCCAAAGGGGCACAGAAGCGAGGGAGGCCTCTAGGTTTCCTGCAGTTCCGCTTTGGATTAAATTTATCTGTCGGTGGGCCAAGAAGATTAAAACAAAACAGCATGGTGTGTCACATGTATCCTATAATAAATCTAAAAATAATTGCAACTAAAAATAACTGTGGTGACGCCCTCCCCCCAGAAAACACTTTGCAACCCCCTGGGGGGTCCTGACCCCCAGGTTGAGAACCTGTGCTCTAGAGGGAAGGATATCATCATCTCTGGGCATGCATAGGAAGTTCAAAAACATACATTCAATATTGTATTTTTTTTTGTTTGGCAAATGGGGAGGACAAATCCCCATTTATACCCATTGTGTTCTTCGCACACAGCTTATTTCATCCTCCTCAGACACAGAAGTGTCTCTCCTTTCTGAATCTACAAATGGCCTTTTTGGATGTCAGCCGCTTCAAACCAAATCAATCAGGGAGGCAGATTTGAAGTGAAAGAGGGCAGGGTCTAAAAATGTTCTTTAGCCATCGCGGGCACCGGCTGGGAACAGCCAGCAGGTGCCCCCCGCTCGCCCCCCCCAGGCCTTCCTGGAAGACAGGCTTCCTGCTTGGGCTGCAAAGCAAGGCCCCCTCCTCCAGAAGATGAAGGATGGAACTAGGTGGTTATAATATATAGTAGAAAATAAAGTGTGAAATTTCATCCCCAAGAGAAAGGCCCTCTTTTGGACTTTCAAGAAGTCAACAAAAGATCTTGGATTTTAGAAGTCTCTCTGGAATGGCAAGATGAGCAATAAGACGCAGGGGTTCCTTCTGGAGCAACTAATATCACTGTAAATTGGAGCTTTCATTCTGTTGTGTTAGACTGGCTGCTGCAACTGAATTCACTTCGTTTTATAAAACATGACTGCAAATTGCGTCAGACAGCCAGTCTGCGCCTAAAGGCCGTCTAAAAAGAGAATGGACCCACAGCAGCATCCAGGCAGGGAGCCGGCCTCCCTACCACATTTCCAGAAGCTGTCTGTTCTCCAGAGGTAGCCTTCCTCTGGAGTGGGAAGCTCCACTACACTCGCGCTCCTACACCAGTCAGCTGTCATGCAAATATTGCCCACTGCTTCTTCAGAAGCCAAGGGGCCTGGTGAAGCAGTCGGCTGCTAAATTCACCTAACTGCCTCTACTTCTTGCCTTAGAATTCTTTCAAAATGCTGTTAGGCTCTGAATATTTTTGTTGTCAATATACTGCTAAACAATTTTTTAATAAATTTACTACAAATCATCCCAAAGAGCCAATAGCAAACTCTGAGCTACATCCATCACCCCTACTGACTCCTTTATTTTAGCATAATAAAAGGCAGTATAGTATTTAAGACAGCAGCAATTCAGTAATTAATACTCAAGTTTATATTCAGTATGTATTAAGCCTCCTTCTCTTGATCCTAAAGGAATATTACAAGCTGAATTATTCTGTGGCTTTCGTATGATGCTGCCCTCTTCACTACTGTGTTGTTTGGATTTTGTATCACAGGTCATAGGTGTGATGCTCAGGCACGCAGATTTGAGCATACGAAGAGTTCTGCTCAACTCCTTACCCATGTTTTACTCGGGCCCTCACAAATCCCAAGTTAACTCTTCCTATGGATTTATCTTGAAAAGCTTGAGGAATGACTTATTCACAGCTCTGCACAGAATCTGAATCCAGAACTACACTCAGTGGTGTAGGTAGAGGTTGGGAGTTTGATGCCCCACGATGCTTCCTTGACTGGATGTGAGGATCCAGAGAGTCCCTTCCAGCTCTGCAGTTCTAAGATTATTAATATTATTTCTTCTTATTATGTAGAGCCGTTACAGCTCCTCCCTCAGGGCCAATCCACCTACTCTTTCTGGGAGGGTCTCAACTGGAAACAGCTCCCGGCTCTGGCCACACCAAGTCCCTGAAGTGTGGACTTTAATCCTGGATGAATTCGACCTGGGATACTCAAGTTTGCAAAGCACCGGTGCTAATGAGAGAGCACTACATCTTGGTTTGTTCCCTTTGGGATTCACATAATTCCCATTGGGAAACGAAACATTAGTGAGCCCAAAGGCACACAAAATGAGAAGGAGGAAGAAGAGAAAGGGGTGTGTGGCTATTACGGTGGAGAAGAACCATGAGAGGGCCTCGCTTACCGAACCGGGTGGGTTTCACCCACCTGTCTTCTTAAAACTAGAAAAAGGCAAGGACGGCTGGGCTGCCAAATGACATGAGCTGACGCGGTGACAGACACTCTCTCCCCCCCGCCACGGGGACCCAAAACAGGAGTCCCTCTGCCCCATGGAAACTGGACTGTTTAGCAAACAGGGGGCAAAAGGGAAGCATTGAAATATTGTTCCACACCTAATGCAAGGTTTGGGGTACATTTCTTGCCTCTTCTGCTGCGTTTTAGGCTTGTCAGCCACGCTGTAGAAAAACAAAAATGATGGAGGGGGAAAAAAGATTTATGTAAAAGTGACATCAGAACAAGAGTCAACAAAAACACTTCTTCCCCCATGGTCCCTCTTGAAGTACAAGAGGACACCAAATCAGGGACCCTGGTTTTCTGCACACTCTGAAACGTGGTGAGAAATTTGGCCTCCTATGGGAAATCCAGAGTAGCCAACGGACCCTGGGAGAACCCGGGTTTATTTTTTTAAAAAAATCAAGTTTCTAGACATCTTGGATGATGAAAAATTGGAGAAAAAAATCAATGTCGTGTCTGCAAAAGATCCTGATGCTAGGGAGGGTCTGGGTGGGTGGAGAGGGGAAGGAGGGGCTACTTCCATAGCCCGCTGGCCCAACGTGCAGCTCACCAGCACCCTCCCACACGGTCCCCAGCGGTCCCATCCCCTCATGGCTCTCCCCGCTACAATTTAGGGTACCTCCTCAAATGCAGGTACAATGTCTTAAATTGCTAACGCTCCAGCTAACATTTTGCTGACTTTCTAACCACAATCTGTACATGTTTCTGTGATTTGTTCTGCTCACAGTGAACCTGCCCCCGCCTTTTTTTGTTTTGTTTTTTTTGGCCGTCCTGGTTGCAGAATGACTTACAGTAAACCAGCGTCCCTGCACATGGCATGCAACGACAATGCATACAAAACCCTACAGGCCCCTGCCTACGCACACCTCCCTTTTGGGCTCTCACAATGCAACCTTGGCCCCAACAGAAGGGAGAATTGAACCACGTAAGAAGAGGAGCTAGTCCTTCTACCGGTCTGAAGCAGCTGATGATACAGATCCTGGCACATCAGGAGAATCACACTCCCCTTTTTTAAGAGAGGGGGGAAAGTGTGCATGTTTGTGGACCTCTACTTGTATGCACGTACAACTACTGTGGTCTACAATCGCAGCCTTGGTGTTCCGCCATGGGCTCGCGTCACGGGAGCTAAAATACAGCAAGACCTTCATTTGCAAAGAGTAAATGGGAAAAGGGGCAGGAACTAATGTAAGGAAGGGATCAAACAGATGGGCCATCTTTAGTTCTCCAAATGCTTAGGCACCACGGCTCCCTTCAGTTCAGTTTTGCTGGCCTGGGGCAGTAGAGATCGTAGGGCAAAACGTTTGGTTCGTTTGCGATTAGTTGCCTCCCTCTTCCCCCACTTAAAGGGCAGACCCACTTTTACATCCAGATCGCCGCAGTGTTTGTGAATCCCATGGGCCCAACTGACCGATGTATTTGTCACAGACAAAACAGTTACACACTGCTCTCAACATTTCTGTACCCAGTACAGCTTAGCATATACAGGTACCATATTTTTCTGTATATAAGATGCTACGTTTTCCTAAAACCTTTAGACTAAAAATTGAGGGTCGTCTTATACACTGAAGTAAGCTGAAGCGAGAACAAAACAGCCCATACCTTGCCCCTGCAAACAGGCTTCCTCCAATCACCAGCCTTCTGTAACTGGTGTCAGATGATACTGAACAAACCAATTGGAACACACCTCGTTGGAGGTGGAGCCTGCAGGCTCAGATGCAACAGGGACTTGTAATGTCTGAGCGTTCTGAGCCCAGAGGCTGAATACTCAAAGCTAAGTTAAGATTTCTTAATTTTGGGTTAGAAAACGGGGGGCTGTCTTATACACGGAAAAATACAGTAATTTCTGGGAAATTTTATAGAAATCTCTGGGCAGTAGAGCCACGGCTAACAATATATATTAACCAGTCTCAGGAACATTAAGAAATATGTGAAAGACAACCTGCCTCTATCCAATTCCTTTCATTTATACTGTACCCATCAGTGCAACAAATTAGGAGATTAACATATTCAGGTGGCTTAATGAAAGCACTTTCTGTTCCATTTTGTATCAAAAATCATGCTCTTCCTTAGCATGACAGGAAAATGCTCACCCCTGACAATATTTTCCAGGCCTTGCAAAATGTAACTTGGTTGCAACATTCCCACAACAGATGCAGGGCCCTACAAACGCGGGGTGGGTGGGTGCTGGAGCTTCATCTGAAATGGGAAGTAAACAAACTGGCTGCCTGTGCGCAGCCCCAACGGAGCTTTGTGCGCATGTGCAGCTTGGAGGGAAGGCTAGTTCCAAGGTCTCCCAGATCCCTTCCAAAGGCAAGACGGCTCCCGCCCACGATGGCAGCGGAATGGGGGGAGGGCTGGTCTGCAACTTAGCTTAACTGCAAATGGCTGCATGTGGCTTCACAAATTCTCAAGCCGCAGGGAATCCAGGGGTGGCTCGCCCGAATGGAACGGGCAACAGCTTCTGTCCCGTGGGCAGGGCCAGCCACTTAACTGGTGGAAGGCGAAAGTGGGAGAATAGAGATTCCCGAAAGGCTGAGTGGGTGGGCTTATGCTGAGTTTCTCTCTCTCTCTCTCTGTGTCTGTGTCCGGTGATCCATGGGCTGTATGTGGACACGGCTGTTTTGCAGGCTCTGGGTCCCTCGCACCCCCACCTGCCCCAATTTCTCAATTTGAAATGCCGTTCTGTGTAACCTACAGGAATAGCAATTACAGCCAGCTCTACTTTAAGGTGCAGCGAATTCAGCCAGTGTGATCTCAACGGGGTGGGGGAGGTGCCTGAAGGGTCCCGGGCCCTACAGCAAGAAGCGCGGCCCCTAAACCCTGCCAACCCCTGCCTGCACCGGAGAAAGAGGGAGGACCAGTTCGCACACGGAAACCTTCGACCTGTGAAACTCAAACTGAACCCCTTCCAGGCAAATCCTTCAGTGAGAGCAAGAGCCCTTCGGCCGTGCCGCCTCGTTAACCTCTGGCTAAATCATGAACCCCTGGGAGATTCTCCTTTCCCCCAACCCCCTTGGATTTGTTCTATTGGAGAACAGTTGGCCAACCAAGTAATTCTAAGCAACGTTTCCCCCCCCCCTTTTCCAGTCCCAGATGACGGACGTTTGGGCGTCTGGAATCACATTTATAATGTTTATGGCAAACCTCCACCTTTCTGTTTCCCCTTATTTTCTCTTTTGTTAAAAAGTTAAGGGATCTACCTTGTGGTGAAGGTGCTGCTGCTGTAATTCAACCTCAGTTCTGCGTATGCCCCAATTTGGGTAAAATAACCCATCAGATGAAAACCAATGATCACTATTTTTAAAGAAAGGCCCTGGATAATTGTGGGGTTTTGATTTGCTTTTCTATAATTGTGGGATTAGTTACCACAGCAACTGTGCCACTCATCAGATGATGAGTGCTGGGGTACAGGGAATCTGTACAATGATTGGGAGCCAATTCTGCACAAAGCCTATTAATTATCTGCATGCTAAGTACCTTACATCTAGTTCGTTATACAGTTACCAAGATGACTTTATCAGCCTCCGCTTTCAGCACATTCTGGTTTCCGCTGTAATGGAAAACGGTTCTGTGTTTTGTCCCCCCCCCCAACCCAACAAGGACCGAAAAAGAAGCTCACCAAGGTTGTTGTCTGTGAGGACCTCTTTCACCCGCTTGGTGATGCCATAGGTATCCAGTTCTGGAGACATCGCGACCAGCTCTTGAATGCTGAGGGAGGAGTGACCGGAAAGGGGCAGCGGTGTGGCGGACTGGGAATCCGACGCGCCCGGCTCGCCCGAGTCCTGCAGCTTGTTGTCTTTACTCATCTCGATGGCAGGACAGGGCTGCTGGACCAGCTCGGTGAGGCTCTTCACAGACTCGCTAGAGCTCATTGGGGATTCAGGAGCAGGGCTGCAGCTGGCGGACGTCTTTGGGGTGCTTTCTGCAAAGGGGAAGAGGGAAAGGGGAAGACGGGGCTGAAACAAAACTCTCCTTCATCATGGTCTTACTTACATACCCCTTTCTGCTCCCCATACCGTGTTAATTATAGGCCATCAAGTCAGTTTCCAAGGTATGTGAAATACTGAGGACATTGTTTCAGTATTGCTGCCACTACTACCCCCATGAGTTTCCACGGCTGAGTGGAGATTTGAACCCAAGTCTCCCGGGTCCTTGTCTGAAACTCTATCTACTATCTATTGCCCATGCATGAAACGCCACCACTGCCCTCTTGCAAGCTTTGTCCTTTTCAACTCTCAGAAAGTTCATCACTCAAAGGAGAGGTTGTTCCTACACAGGTCATGCCTGTGTATTGGGTTTTATTCCTGGATGTAGAAATGTGATCATTTATGCCCAAGCAATGCAAGAATGAAACAAACCCAGATTTCAGCACTATGAACAGACACTTGTAAATGCCTTATTTCAAGGGGAAGAGAGTCAGTTTGTCTACAGGATTGCTGTCTCCCTCTGGCTCTCCAAGGCCTCCAGCAAAAGAGGGCATCTGGGGCTTGAGGAATCCCAGCCTCTTCAGCGAGATTGGACATCCTCCAGGATTTTTCTACTGTAAGCAAGAGGCCCTATGGAATAGATTAGGAGCCTAGTTCAGAGAAAGGAAACGTTCTTCTCTTGTGCCTAAAGGTTTCACATCTGCTACATCCCTCCAACCTAGATCTGAATAACAGGACGTTGTAGTTTAACAATTACAAAATGTTAACTATAATGCCTAAGAAAAGAATAGGGCAGCCTTTGTGAAAGCTGATAGCGATGCAAAAGAGGATTTCATACTGCAAAACAGGTACAAGTTTATTCCCTGACATATTAGATCAAGTAAAGAACTTAAATTACTGTGTAAACAACTACACATTAGTTCAGCCAGTCAAAGGACCCTGTCCTGTGGCCACCCCCCCCAAACACAGCTTTAAAAAAAAAACAAAAAAACAGGAGGCAGTCCTGTTGGCTGTAAGTGAAATTCCAAATCCATAGTGGAGCAACTCCTTTTTCAGGTCAATCAAAAAAGTATGCAAACATTGCTAAGCGTTCACTGAACAGTTATATTAAAAGAGAGAGACAGCTAAAAATGTAAACAATAACACCCCCACCCCAATTTTTACGAACATTACCAAGCATGGAGAAGGGAACTAGTACTGAATATATCACACTATTGTTCAATGTGTTTTACTCCAAAAGAGACTGTGTTAGAAAAGCTTTTCAATTTGGATGTTGTTTTTAAATCCCCCCATTCTTTCCTTTATAATCTGCAGCCTATTATGTTCCATGTGCCGGTGTCATTGTGACAAGCGTTTCTTTGTTCTCTGGAGTACTCTGACATGCTGGAGGGTAAGAGAGGCAGATTAATCACTCTAGGGCAGCGGTCCCCAACTTTTTCCCAAACGAGGACCAGTTGGGGGGGGAATGGCATGCTTGGGGTGTGTATGGCGTGCCTGGGTGTGTGTGTGTGGCACACTTGCGTGCAGTGCACTCGCAGGGGCGGAGTGTGCTTCTGTGTGTGTGGGGGGAGGAGATCTGTGATTGTGGCCGGGTCATGGACCAGGGGCTTGGGGACCCCCTACTCTTGGGCGTGGGTTAAGGACACCGCTGTACTAGGGCTCAGAATGCAACACTGGGCAACCACTTTCGGGAACAACTCTCTTGTTTCTAAGAATGTGTAGCTTGTCCTTTCAGATTTTCAAACCCCCCCCCCCATGTAACACAACATGTGGCACTGTGGCGTTCACCCAGGACATGATTATTCATACGCTATCGGCCTGGACCAATGGGAGTGCTGGAGGGGCGGAGTCATGAGGTATAAGAGTATAAGAGACTCAGGAGGAGGAGGAGTCAGACACAGAGAGGGTTTTGAGATGGAGAATTAGGGTGTTAGAGAGTGGAGAGAGTTGTGGAGTTTGGGCGGGAGAACAGTGGTTGAGGGTGGAGAAAGAAGAAGGTTTGTTTAAGAGTTAACAATATGGCTTGTTCTGTCAATAAACAATTTTGATTGGGTTCTTTTAAAACGACCTACAGCCTGGACATCTATCATTCCTAATAGGGATTGTCGATGAAATCAACGGGTGGCAGCTGAGGGGGCATGTAGTGCGAGCTCCTAGTTTGGTGAAACCATCAGGGGCCAGGAGGAATCGTGACAGGCACCAACACTTTTTCTGAGGCACTCGGGATGGAGAGCCCCACCTCCACCTCCGGCCAGCTTTTACCCCTCCACACGGTGGGTCGTTTTCGACCTTAGGTTTCTAGTCCAGCCCAAAATGAAAATGGCATATTGCTGATGAATGTCAATAAACAAAAAAAGTTTATTAACAATAAACAAAATATGTTAACTTTGGACAACTCAGCAAGAAAAATGGTGTGGGAGACTGTACCGTAATGATGAAAGGAATTTCCCATTAAGTAGGACTGATAAACTCTTCCTTTCTGGGGCTATTTTCCTCCTTGCATGCTATAACAAACCAGTGGTTGTTAACTTTTCTGATGAAAGGAACTATCGGAACGCGCCCCTTGAGTGCCGTCAGCCAAAGCGTACTGCAAATAATATTGGCATCTCCTGCCCTCTACCACCTCCCAGGGGGAAAGGGACGACAGTGGCGGGCCCTCAGTTCCTATGCCCAGTCTTGCAGCCAAAGGCTCTTGGGTGGATCACCCCATCCGGGAGAGAGGGCTCAAACTCTCCCCATTTCTACACCTTCCTTTTTAAAGATCGCCAAGGCCCGGGTTGGTAGCAAAAGGGAAGCAGTGCGTGGGTAATTTGTGATCAGGGACATGTGTGACCTCCACAGCCTGGGTGACCCCCCTTCCACTTGAAATATCACTACTGCAACATGAGGAGAGACAAAGCTCACCGTTTGTACTGAAAACATTTAAAAAGCCTTCTCCGTTGCTTCCTCTCTGCAAGGAAAATGGGGATAAAGCAAAGCAAAGTGTGCTGCTGATATACCACCCCACAGCGCTTCAAGCACTTGCTGGGCAGTTTACCAGTGAATTATGCAGGCTACACACTGCCGCCACCCCGAAGCAAGCTGGGTACTCATTTTACCAACCTCGGAAGGATTGAAGGCGGAGTCAGCCCTGAGCCGGCTGAGCACAGTTTTGGCTGCAGTGCAGTAGTTTAACCGCTATGCCATGGGATAGAAACAAGGAGCATGTTATACTTGGGGGGGGTACGCAGAGGAGAATAGGCATCCTTGTCCTTAAAAATAATGCAGATCATACATTTCCTCTAGTACACTAGGACCTTCTTATCCGCAGGATCTGTATCTGCTGATCTACTTATCCATAGTCTGAAAATATTAAAAGAAAAATCCCCAAAATAGATATTTTTAACAATGAAATTACCAGAACTGGCCACCAGAGGGAGCCAGAGACCATGCTATGTCTAGTATTAGCTATTATAATAGTACTGTGTTTGCTATAATTCGCATTTTTCAGCACCAGTGGCAGGGTGGATTGGAGCCAATCCCTGGTGGGTACAGGCATCCTAATGTTATCTATGGTGTGATTTTGTGTCACGTCTTTCATAGAAAAATGGGCCTGGCTCTCTAGAAATAATAGTTACTTCCTCAATGTTATTACATTCTGTAAAATACCCAGAGGGCCAAAGGTATCATGGATCTTCTCTCCTGAATAACTGCTGGTTTCTCTGACCTAAAGAATGCAACATTAAGTGGCCCCGGACTCCTCCTTTCGAGCACTCACGCTGGTTTTTGCTGCCCTTCTTTTGTCTTCTGGAGAGGAATGAATGAGCTCTCTCAGCGGAGAGGTTGCTACGCCTGTCTATTCCCAGCCATCTCCTACAAGCTCTGGGCAAGTAAGAAAATAGATACTACAGTACATGGAAACAAGTGCCTAAAATAACCTCTGCTTTTCCTCAGCCAAATGTTTGCTCAAATGAGAACTTTTCATGGCACTGCAAAAGAGACAGGGAGTTCGCCCTGCGAAGACTAATACTGGCACATTGAGGGAAAGGGTTGGGGAGAATGGAGGAGGTAAGGTTCCAGAAACTGGCACCAGTGCTAAAGGAGGGACTGACAACGAAGCCACAACACTCTTGCCTTCCACAAACGGACAGAGTTAGAAACCTCCGCAGTTCACATTCCATTGTCAGGGCCCAGACGGCGCCATCCAAACATCCCCTTTGGTAACACCATCCTGTGAATGGCAGATTTCAGTGCTCGCTTGAATGCAATACCAATTATTCATTTATTTCCTATTATCAGTTACATCCAATACAATGATGGGCTTCTTCTAATGAGCTCAAGGGGCACGGCTCTTCTCCATCTTCACAACAGTCTGGCGAGAGAGATCACACTTTGAATCTTGTGGCACAAGAACGTGTGTGGCCCACAAGGGTCTGGAGTAGCCCAGACGCATGTGCACCCCTGTCAAAATTTATCTAGCACCCTCTTACAGTAGAGATCACCACTGCACCTTGTGGCAGAGAATTCCACAGGTTATTTCTGTATGACAGAAGGATCTTTCGCCTGCTCACCCGACGGGTTGCTCTACCCACTTTCTCCTGCCTGCAGAACCCGGCACACCTTCCCTTCTCAGCCTTGTGCCTCGGCTATGCTAAGCCTTTTCCAAACATTGTAACAGACTCTGCGGTAGGTTAAGTGACTGAGTAGCACTGTCATAAATCAAATCTATTTAATAAAAGTTACTGAGTTATTGTTTAAAAAAACATCAAATTGTATTTAGAGAAGGTGTCTCAACATTCCCATAAAGGTCCTTCTAAACCCAAGTAATTAGATTTCTTGTTTCTTTTCTTTTCTTTTCTTAAAAAACAACAGATTATGAAAGATGCAAAGGAGATCATACACACACACACACAGAGAGAGAGAGAGAGAGAGAGAGAGAGAGAGAGAGAGAGAGAGAGAGAGGAATGACTCTGAGCCACTACGGCCTATGTGTAATCTTTAAGACAATTAAGGATGC